AGTATGAAATAACTTTATGAGGTAACTTAAATTATGAAATGAGCCATTCACAATGTGTTTCTGAGTTACCTATTGGCAAAACAAAATTTAGTTTTATAACTGCATATTTCGAGTAAAGTCAGGTAGAAAGGTAAGGAGAAAGGCAAATACTATTAAAAGTGACTCATACCTGCTACAGGATGATGGTATCTGTACTTTCCACCCAGAAACCTTGTGTTTAATTGAATGTAGCAGAATGCTTCCTATAACTTAAGAAGAAATGAGAGTGCAGAGTGTGATGTAAGCTTAGTAGAGCAGGGCTAGTAGAAACCATTGCTCAGGGCCCACTCTTATAACTTCTGTCAACATTGCTTCAGATTCAAATTCTACTCCCATTAAAAATCAGTTGAATTATTATGTCTTAAAAACTCATTATACAGTAGCTAACAAAGGAGTATTATTTGTTGTTATGAAGAAAAAGAAAAAAACGTATATTAGTGGGAACAAGATTTGGGGAAAGGCCTGAAGCTTAACAACCTGGAGGGTGTTGCTGAGTCACAGAACTAAGTATAGATTTAACTTGACACAATATCCATAATCAGTTTTCATATTGCAGGGCAGTGTACTATCTCTATTTTACAGTGTCCTTCAGAGAACACAGAGCAGACAGTGAGGCTCATTTCTTATACCAAACATCTTAGTATTAAACTGCTGAGCTGTTTAATCTGAATTAATTGCTATTTTCTCCTAAAAGACTGGTAAGAAGGAACCCTGTACTCTCTCCAGAATCCCCTGCACGTGCGCACCCCCCCACACAAACACTAAAATTAGGCAGATGCCCTAATAACTTCTAATAGCCAGTTAGAGATTCTGAGTTTACCAGAGCTTAAAGACCTTGTTTAAAAGATTACACTGGGGTAACTACTTATTCTGTAGCAATTTTGCAGGGGAACAACATTAATTAATAATAATACCAGTTTATCTTGTGCTAGGCTCTTTACATTTAATTCTCAACAACCTAACAAAGTCATACTATTATAAACTCAGTTTGCAGATAAGAAAACTGATACACAAAGATATTAAAAATAACTTGTCCTGCTTACATAACTGGAAAGTAGTGGAAACAGGATTTGAACTCAGAAAATCTGGCTCCAGTCTGTGTTCTTAACTTCTATGCTGCAATACAAAAAGAACCACGAGAGTTTGTCATTGATGCTAACTTTAGTTGCTTAGCTCTTATAAAAGTTTTGATATTTCTCAGTTTATTGGTAGCAATTCTTTATTTGAACTACCCTCAAAGGATCCTAAAGTATCTAACCAGGACTCTGTTTACCAACTTACAAGATTTGGAAGTAAGAGTTCTTTTTGTTGTTGCTTCTGTTTTTGTTTTGAGACAGGGTCTAGCTATGTAGCCCAGGCTGATCTTGAATTCACAATCCTCCTACCTCAGCCTCCCAAGTACTGGGATTGCAGGTGTGCCAAGTCTGACTATGATTCTTCTTAACATGTACGTAGTAACTCAACTCTAGTTAGAAAATAGAAAATATTCTTCTAGGAAGTTTGTGGATAGAGTTAATATGAGAAGAAAGAGATTTCCATAATTTTAGAAATGATAAGAGTTCCTAAGAACTTAGTTTACTCTGAAAAACTGTCTAGCCACAGGATAAATTGTGCCTTTATCCTTAGGAGACTTATATTTTGACAAGGTGTATGAAATATTTTTGTTTTCCAGAATACCCTTATAGATAGATTAATATTAACAGCCCAGTTTATGCAAAGGGAACTTTTAAGCACTGAATAGGATGCTGAAATACCTAAAATCTCACAACAGCTCCAGAATCAGAAATGCCCTCCTTGGAGTTTTATACTTAGTATTACCTTGTAATCTCTTACTTCTAAGAAAAGCCAGACTGCTAGGATTTGAATTTGATGTTAAATGCTTTGTAAGCAAGTACAAAGCATTATGCATAGAAGTGTTTTCATTTTCACCTGGGACCTTGTTATCTAAAACATTTCACTTAAATTATATAGTTCCTTTTTAAAAAAAACATACCTCTCAAGGTTAGTCTAAGTCATAGACTCTCCTCATTTTCACACCAGCAAAAAGTAAGTCCTGTGTATGGAAAATGACTTGTTACTGTCCAGGTGTCTTCATATTTCCTTCTCCAGTGATTTCTTGTTTCTTTAATGAGAACATCATCTTCACCTCTGCCAGGAAATTAAGTAACATTTTTCTTTGTTGTCAACTTTTATTTAGTTCCCCTTTGAACTGGAGCAGACCTGTACTGTGGTCCAGAAAATAAAAACTTTAGTTCTTTCTAAAGTGTTTTGCTTCGCCTACCCTCAGACAACTGGAAGAAGTAATTTTAAAATTAGTCAGTTTGACTTGCTATTTTAAATCACATCAGAATTCTAAACCAGTCCATTGTTAGCTGTTAACGTAAGATAGTATTAACAGTTCTTAATCTTTAGAGCATTTTGTTTTTATTTAATCATTTTAATGCATTCTACTTCCAAGAAATACTCTTACATAAACTTCTTGTTCTTTCTGGCCCCTCTTCTGCTCTTCTCGAGAGATGCTATCCCCAGTTTTGTGAGTTGGACAGCAAGACATTCTTCAAATGCACAAGGCTTGCTTTAGGAGGTTTGAGGTCATGAAGAAGGAATAATTTTAGCTTTGAGGTCTTGTGTACATCATGTCTTAATGAGTTGCCTATTGGCATTTTTTGTGTTGTAGACATTTGCAAAGATGAAAAGAATTAAATTTTTATACTAGGAACAGGGTGGGAGAGAAACAGAAGAGATGCAAAGGGATCGGGGTTGATAGCTTCAGAAAATTCAGAATTTCACAGGGTTACAAGTTTGTCCTTTGCTTTGGTAATGTTAAGTTTTATGTAGCCCGTGTCAATGTAAATAATGCTTTAATCAGCAACTTTGTCATCACTTCCTCTCTGCTTTTAATATCACGCTTATTTTGTATCCCAGCTAACAGCTTTCTCTGAGAAGTGTGATGTTCTTCATAGTAAATTATAGTCAAGTGGGTGTATAGAGTTTTTTGTTATTCTGCTTTATTTTATTGTTCCTATGTTTAGTTCCCCCATACTTAATTGCTCATACCAGACAGTGGAAACAGGATTGAAGGCAAATCCACAGCCTCTGTCCTCTTAGTGGAGAATCTGAAGAAAGACGCAACTACAGTGGCTCATGGCATTTTCACATTAGTCCTCAGTGGGCACGTGCACACACCCAAGCCTCGGTCTCTGTCAGACTGCACTCCTCATTGCCTCCCAAACACAAGGGAGAATTCCTATTCCTGTTGCTCCACCCAGCATACTAGTCTCCCTTGCCTAAAATGCTGCTCTTCCTGTTAAAGGTAGCACTGAATTGTGGAAAACAAGAAGCTCTGTGTTAAGATAGACCTGATTCAAATCCCAGATCTACCACTTTAAGCAAGTTACTTAATTTCACTGAGAATCAGTTTCCCAATATAAAAATGAGGATTGAGGTTTTTATGAGGGGTAAGTAGAAGGAAAACACAAAGCCCTCAGTAAATATTGACTTCCCTCCTTATAGTTCCCCCTTTTGAAAGCCTACCTGTACTTCAGATTTCATCTTCTACCTACTCAGAGTTTGTTTTCTGAAGCACTAACTTGGCACACCCCATCCTACCTCAATGTTGTGTTTTGTAATTACCATCTGCCCTCATGGCTTGTAAGTTTCTTGAAAACTAAAACTCTTGAAACAGAACCCTGAGTTTCTGACATAGCTTTGTTGTATACAGTAGTATTCCATACAGAATTAGAAAATAGAAAGTGACTTGCTAAGCATGTGGTCACCGCATTCTAAACTCATCCCATTAGAAAAGGTGTTGAGTGCATTACATTTTCCTGGCACAATAAGGGAAATTACCTGAGATTTTTCCTAAGGTGTATTTAAATTGTGGAACCTAAAAGAGAGCCATCAAATCCAGAAAGACTTCTTGTTCTCCCATTGTGCAGATGGGGTACATCCATCTCCTTGAGACAGAATTCTCTAAAAAATAAACTTTTAATACATGATTAAATGTCCTGGTAAAAGAGAGCATTTACTTATGCACTCTTAACCAAATAATTGTCTTCTAATAGGAATCTTTGGCCTTCCAGTGAATGTGCGTCTTCAGTGACAGTGTACATGAGAGGAAGTAGACACCTGTTCAGCAAGCCAGATCAGCTGGAACAAACCAGTGGCAAAGGAAAGACATATCATAGGCAGGTCACTGGTACACCAGACACAACAGCTTAGTATTTCCTTACCCAGCAAATGACCATCCATGGAGCCATAAATTGTGGGGTTTTGTCCAAATTAGCACACAATCCTAATAGGATCAAAACCTTTGGTTCACTGGCAAAATTGTAGCACTCTCATTATCCATGTCAAAACTATCAAAGAGGACTAAATTATATTCAGTCTTTATCTACATGACTAGAACTTATTTTCTAGAGGAAAAATAGGCATCTTTGTTATATTGCAGTCTTAGATGTGGAATCTCTGCCATCATTCTCTCTTAATTCCTTGGTTTTATTTTTTTTTTACCTTTTTGATGTCATTTTAAGCTATGATGAAATAGTGTATTTCTCTGTAATTCATCTGTTGTGGGTTTATTCAGGTACAAATCTGTCATTTCTTACATTTTGAAAAGCAAATATAGGGAAAACTCTTTGACATTTTTTAATGTCAAGGGAACATTTTGCTGATGTTATGAATCGAGTAAAATCTTGGGACTTGAACTTTGTGCCAGTTTTTTCCCACAAATACTTGGTTCTTAAAAATAGCATAGCAGCCACACTTGAACTTTAGTGCAAAATCTTGCATCACATATCTTGATCTAGTTTTGGGTGCTCCAGTTCACTGGCTGTGTTCTGCTGAAGAAAAACAAGCATTGTCACCTTTTTTGTTGTTCTTGATGTTTTGAGACCTTGCTTTATTGGACAACAAAAGAGAGATATTTCTAATGTGCTGTATCTGTGTCTCTTGTCATTGAGGTCATTGTCATGAGAAAACCCTGGACAGCAGCCATGACAAGCAGAAATACTTTGACAACTCGCAGTCCCTGGATGCTGCCAAAGAAGAGACCTCTGAGAGGGGAACAGAGGAGCACCCTATACTCTCTGTTGAGGATTCAGGGGGGGACTCAGGTGCCCTTAGACTTGAAAGTAAGTTGATTTGACCTGAGCTGTGCTTCTGGGGAAAAATCAACTGATCTTTAAGCTTAGGCTTTTCTCTCTTTCAAAAGTACATTTCCTTCTTCTAACAGCCACTCATGCTGTAGAATTGAAATGGCAACCCCTGATTGGTGAGGCAGAAGACAAGCAAGAGTGCTCCTCGTTCTTTTTTTCCTCCACTGTTTAGTCTTTCTTCTCCAACAAATTTGATTAATTTCTGTAGTCATTATTCTATTTAGTAAGGCACTGGAAAAAGGAAAAATTAATCATATTTATACTAACCAAATAAAATTTGAAGATTTGGAATAATAGGCCCATTTACCAAGCCCTCTTCCAACATTCCACTTTTTGGCCACATTTTGAGCTATGCTATTCTGAACAGTTCTTGATAAGATTGTCAGTCTATTCCTAATTGCCAAATTTTTTGCATTTGGAATTATGCACAACTCCCCACTTCTTGAAACTCTCTACTCTATGCTTCTGAAATCACTTGCTCTTGAATCTTGCCTGTCTCAGGCTGTTTCTCAGTTTCCTTCACTTACTTGTTATTCTAACTTTATTTGTTGAGTTATCCAGTATCCCGACTTTGTTCTTTGTTTTATCCCACTGTGTTATCTTGTGGTGACTCAGATACTTATGAATACACCAATGACTCCAAATTTATATTTTCAGCTAAGACATTCTCTACAACTCCAGATCTTATTTCCACCTTTTCAGTGGACTCTTTATCTTGATATGCCACAGGTACTTTACATTTAACATATCCAAAGTTGAACTTGACTTTCTTTTCTTTTTTTTTTTTTTGCCATAGTTTCTGAACTTCTGCTAGTTCCTATATTCCTGGTATCTTATTTCATCACAACTCACACAGGCACCACTTTATTTGATCAGCCTCTTTGAACCTGTTAAATCTATCCTTTCTTCATCCATTCCTTCTGCCACTGCCTGAACTCAGACTTTCTTTATTTCTGCCTTTACTGTTGCAGTAGTCTTTTAATTTGGTTTCTTAACCGTAGTTTTTTATTTTATATGTGGAAACAGACAGACTGAAGAAGATACACATAATTGATACAGAATTTTAAAAGCAGAAAAAAACCACTGTTACCAATTTCTTATGTGTCCAGAGTTGTTTCTAAAATGCTATTCTGATCAGGTAAGTTTCCTACCTTTAAATTGTTCAGTGGATCTCTATTACCTATAGGAAGAATCCAAATTGGGAGATATGAGGCAATTTGCTCCCCCCACCCTGACTTGCTGGCCTACTGTATCCCCCAATAGTATGCTCCATCACAGGAAGAACAAACTTTTCACCATTCCTCTCTCATGCCATACTGTTTCACAGGCTAGGAGTGAGTCCTGTATGTACTTTGCTTTAAATAGAGAACTCCTTCACATTTCCAAGATCTAGCCCAGATGTCACCTCTTCTCTGAAGCATTCGCGACGATCTCCAAGCATATAGGCACTCTATCTGCTGTCTTACTCCTACTTTTTGAAAACACATTTTATGCACTATTAATTACTTGTGTGTCTTGTCTCCTGTCAGATTATGAGCTTCTTGTGTTCTGTGTCCCATGTAACTTTAAATTCCTTGTACAGTTTTGTTAATGAGATGTGGTATGTGCCTTCTTATGTAGATTGGATTGACATACTTAGTAATTTACAAAATCTTTTGTTTCCTTCTAACATTGTATATAAAAATGCTATGTAGGAGAAGCAAGTTGAACCTCAAAAGGGAAGAATACCATTGGCATGAATGAAAACTTATGATTATTGTTTTCTGCAAGTTGTAACCTTCATCTTTACATTAGAAAATTAGTTTAATCAGTTTCACCAGAAACTACTAGAGTTTAAGGAACACTTAGTAAATCAAAATGGGTTTAGTCTTAAACTAGATGGCCAGTTTGTTCATTTGCAGTGGCAATAACTCCTTTCTGGGGCCAAGCAGTTGAGACAGAGCATTCCCAGGTCCCTTTAAAATCACATAGACTTTCTCTTAGGGTAAATTACTTTTCACAGTGCTGATGCACCCATGGTATGATGATGCCTTACTAGCTTTGCTCTCAGGTACTAATTTTCTTTATAGCATATATCTAAATTCTGGGAATACCCTTTCTTATTCCCTTGTTCTTAACAACACATTGACAGGACAACAGTTACTAATTAGCATATTCATGCCAGTGGGCTTCCTATGTTGGTTATTAGAAGAACTGATGTGTCTGAAGAACTCTTAATTTTCTAATGTAAGTACTGTATTTTAATAAAAGCCAAGCATAGACATTAAAGAAATTTTGAAAATATAGCTTTAGGGGAAAACTTAAGAAATACAAATAGTTAAGTCCTCTCCAATAACTATTAACTATTATGATGATTCTACTTTTTATAGTATCTTATAATCTACTGATGTTCTAACCTTATGGAATAGATATTATTAAGCCCTTCTTATAAATGAGGAAATTAAGACTCAAAGGTGTTAGGAAGCATGTGTAAGTTCTTCAGCAGGTGATGTAACTAAAATTCATCCTCAGACTTTCTGATATACAACATCTACTTTACCCGTGCTTCTCAGAAATAGGGATTTGATAGATTAGAACTTTTTAATCAGTAGCTCATTTTTTGATGAAAACCAGCATCTGCTACTGCTATTTTACAAAACAGAATATTTTAATATCAGAAAAGTACAAAGATGATCTCAGAATAAAGGTCAGTCTTTGTCAAAAATAGACAGTTAACCTACACCAACAAATGTTATATTTGTGTGTGAGAGAAAGATAGCTTTATTTACATGTTCTTTTTAAAAAATTTCTAATTTTTCTAAGGATTGGCAAGAACTGTGCCAGTGATTAACATTTGAAAAACACTGCTTTAATACATCATCATCTAGTCCAGAATTCCTCCTTGGCAAACCTTAGCTGTGGGAGGAAGAGCATAGACTTTGTAGCCAGAGATACTGTTGTCATGTCTGGGCTCCACCTCTAGCTAGTTGTTAAATCTTGAGCAAATTACTTAACCTTCCTAAACTTTGTTCATCTTATTTATTTAAAAATAAACAAACAAAAGAATGCCTCAGAAAGACAGGCATGGTGGTACATGCTCATAATCCCAGCACCTGGGAGGCTGAAGCACAAGTGTCACAATTTGAGGCCACGTTGGGCTACATAGCAAGACCCTGTCTCAAAGAAAGAAAGAAAGAAAAAACCCTATAGTTTTGCATAAAGGAAATAACTGGGAAGCATTTGTTTTAGTGTCTGTCACACAATTGGAATCCAGCAAATGTGGACATGACTACTTCAGGCCTTAAAAACTGCTTGTGAGCCAAAGTCTTCACAAGCACATGCACACAATATTATGCAATAAACATGTGTTCAGTTAAAGGGAGTCCTAACATTTGCACAAGAGTTACTAAGGAAAGATTCTCTGTTTGCTTTTCTAGGTAATTTTCTCCAAGTTCTGTTTCTTTTGCTATACTGGATAAAAGAAGGAAGAGTACTACTAGGCTCATGATTATCGTTTTCTACTCAGAAGTGAATCATTTCCTTATCTACTTTAGTCTGAATGATTTAATCAAACCTTTTGTACTTTGTGATTATTGGCTTGAAATTTTATACCATCATTTATGCATTAAATCTTAAGCAAATCTATAGTTTTACAAACTGACTTCAAATCAGATAACTGCCATTCTGCAGACAAAATTCACAAGCCCCTGTGGGGCTAGAGTCCTAATTTTGTCTCAGTCCTTAGTATACCCTCTATTTTGTCATTATTAAAGACATTGTGTCCTGCTGGCCTTCAAAAACCACAATTTAGTGCTCAGAGCTTTTGATACTAATCATAAGACTCGTTTTGAGTCACATTTAGAAGGAAGGACTTTCCTTTGCTGGCCATGTCTTTGAATATATGGTCTTTCCCTCTGTTTACTGTCAGTGTGTTTTGACACTCATCTTTCCATCCTTTGCTCCCTAAAATGCTTCTTGAAACCTCTCTTCCAAGACTGTTGATGCTGTTTCTGCCTTCACTCACCTTCTGATGTTCCATTCCCTCTCCTAGTGTTCCCAGCAAATTGACAAGCTTGTGTCTGCCTCAGGCATCATGGCCTCAGTCTTTCCCTGGGTATGACCCATTCCATTTTCATTGATTCAGTCCTTTCCTAATACTGAGCTAGGACTAGCAGAGTGGTTCAAGTGGTAGAGCACCTGCCTAGCAAGTGCAAGGTCCTGACTTCAACCTCCAGTACCCCCCCCCAAAAAAAAACTTAACACTAATCTGAAATATGACATCATTTCTAGGTTTACCTTATGATGCTAGCAGAATCAGCCTTATTTCTCACTAATATCACATCCTTTTAGGTGCTTAGAGATGGTTGTTTTTCCTACCCAGCCCCTTTCCCCATGTCTTTGCTTCCTTTCAGCTAAACATCCTCGTTTCCTTCAACAACAACTCATCTCATGGCTTTTAGTCCCATCTCCATTTTTGGAATAACATCACTGGAATTTTTCTTCAGTCTTCATTTAATATGGTTTCAAATACTTTTACCAAGTCTCTGTTCTATGAATGAGCACATTCATAGAACATTCATTTCTTTGGAAATCTCTAAAACTGAGATACTCAAGCTTACATAGGAAACCCCGGTGTATTTGGAACATTGTAAAGTTATGCTGAGCTGCTTTTATTTTAATTAGGAATACATAAGCTCATTTCCATCTCTCAGCACTTCTCTTAGTCCTTGTAATTCTTGACAGATTATCTAACATGGCTCAAACTCAACTCTAGCTTTTCTCAACACCCTGGATTAGACTTCATCCAAATGAAGAATGTAAACTCACATAAACCAAACTGTGGGTGTTCCTGTTCTCTTCCAACGTCACAATATTTATTCTCCTTTTTCCCAGTGTGAAAATGGTATCTAGTAAAGAAGATAAAGAAAAATAGAAATGTGGATCTCAGTCTCTCTGTTTTCAGTTTATGTCATACCATCTGTCCCCCAGGCAGCAAGCCTAAAATTTACTTCTTACTCCAAGCATAATTTAGAGCCTTCTGAGATTCTGCTGCAATCCAGGCCTCTCACCAAACCAGAATGTCATACAACTGTAGAGAACAGTTGTGCAGGTTAGTGTTCTATATAGAACAATGTCTGCAGATGTGTTCCTCCGTCTAGTCTAGACCAAAGTTCATGGGTTATGATTTTCCAGCCCTCAGTGAGTTGCTAGACACATGGCAACAGTTGTTTAAATGAGTGTCCAAAATCCCAGCTGTGTACCTCATTGTCCTCTCTGAACTCCATTGCCTCTCTAAATAGCTTTCTATTCTCATCTTCAGATTGTGGGCCTATATTCACATAGACTATTCACATTAGACTATAAAATCTTTAAGCCTACCTTATCATTAATTTATCTTTATTTAAAATTTCTTCACATCTTCCTCCTCCTTTCAAAAGAATTCTCCTTGTCTTCACCTGTCAGCTCAACTTAACAGGAATGAGATGCTTTTTTAATTGGGTTCTTTGTCTTTTCCTTCACCATCACCTCCCACCCCATACACCAACTTAATTTAGAACTCTAAGACATTGATCATCACTGTTAAAGTCCTCATCTTACTACTTTATTGTTCTTCCATTAAGAGAGAGTGACTCAAGTGGTAGAGCACCTGCCTAGCAAGCACAAGGCCTTGAGTTCAAGCCCTAGTACTGTTCAATATAGATCAATAGATAGATAGACAGACAGATAGATAGATAGATTTTGTGACATCTTGTGCTTAAGAAACAAAACACTCCTTTTACATGGAATCCTCTTCCTGATTTTGCCAGACATTTTTAATGTCACTCAACTTCCCTTAAGAATCTTATTTGCTGATATCTCCTATGCTCATTCGTTGTTCTAACTAATTTGCAATTAGTAGTGTCTCTGCATATGTCTTCCTTATCTCTGTATGTATGTCTTTGTGTAGGTATGTGGGTACATGAACCTGTGCATGTGTGCTTTTTAAAAAACATTACTCTGGAAAGTGGCCTTCTGACTCCTATCCTGTCCAAAACTTGCTGCCATAGTCCGCTTTCCTCTAGGAAGCATTTTGTAATTATATTCAAATACCTTTTCATCTATAAAATATTTCATTGTTCTTGTAAATTTATATAGTTTCATATCACCAATTTTATTATAAAATGGTCAAGTTTAATTTGTCAGGGTCAGAAATTTTCATTTTCTTTTTGTTCCCGTCTGTAGAGCTTATGACACTTAGCAGGCTCTAAATAAATAAATGTTCTCTTTTTTTCTATCTCATAGCACATTTATGATCTACCCATTCCTTACCTTTGAGGAGTAAATATAAAAATATGTATAGACTTTGTGTTGTTCTTTAGGAATTGCTATCACCTTGGCACCAGCATCCTTTGCAAAGGCTTAATAGCTGCTAGCAGCAAAAGCCTGCAGCAAGTTCCATAGTCTTTCTTCATTTGAATATGGATGGATTCTCATTAGTGAAAGTCCTCTCCTTAAGAATTTTATAATGATAAATATTACCGTAAGGTAAGAGGTGCGGGGAAGCAATAACCTTTGGGAATTAGATTTGTGAAACTTCTGCAGAAAAACAACAGGAATGCTTCCCAGGTAGTCCTTACTGAAAGAAGTAAGGCGTCCAAACGCTGCACCTGTCTGCACCACTGAGGAGGAAGTTAGCAGCAGTCTCCTTGGGCCAACAGCCACTTTCCTTTAACGCCTTACTTTTTGTTGAGACCAAATTGATCCAAAACCCTTTGATGACTCAGGACAGGATATGGTGGCAGACGGAGAAGAATCTGAAATTAGATGAGGAATACTTAGAGACAACTCTGTCTACAAGTCAGATGCTGGCATCCGCTTAGCAGCCATGTCCAGCTGCTTTTCTGGGTGAGCTATGGAGGACTTTGAAAATCTTACTGTTAAGAATTTTGTAAATGTCACAATATACCTCCAGCACAACAATAACTAAAAAAAAAATAATAAAAATAATTTAAAAAATCAAAAATTCACATAATGTGCCAGATAACTACTTTAAAGGCATGGTGTCTGACTATAGTGCTTACTTCCATTCACCTGGTTTGGCAGTGCATTAACACATGACAAGATAAACCTTAGAATGTAAAATCTTGAATTGCCAGCAGCACAAGGCAAATGCAAGAACAGCAGATCCTCAAGACCCTCACAAACCAAATTGTTCCTGAGTTCCCATTAATCCCTTCCACAGCTGTGTCTGCTGTGTGCCAGGTGCAGTGTTGAACATTAGAAACTGAAATTGTCAGCACTCTATTTATACTACTGGCCACATAATTTTAGGCAAGTAACCAACCACTTTTGTCTCAATACCTTAAAGAAAAGACTTTAGCACACCAATGTGATTGCCTTAGGACTCAATTAAGAAGTAATAATTTTTAAAAAGCAGTAGAAACCAGCAAATTGGTTTAGAAAACCTGAGAAGATAGCAGTACATTTGGTAATCACTTGGTAATAAATAGAGGAGCCCTATAGCTGTTTTAAGGAACTATGACATTTAGAGGTTTCTAATAGTACCCCCCAGCATGACATCAGACTCTCCCATTTTCTATAATGGTGGGACAGAAGGCAGAGATGCCACTTAGCCAAGGGCGACCTTGCCCACCTCTGAGTGTGGCTCAGAGTTTTAAAGTCATTTTTATCATGGTGTCAGCCGTGTTTCTTACCCAGGTCTCCTCAGGGACTAATACTGGCATTTCTAAGATAGGTTGCTTACTGTGACTGTAGATCTGGTCATATGAGTATGAGAGTCCTAACAGTAGCCTTACTATAATACCATGTTCTTAATCCCTGAAAAAGCTGGAATTTATAACTGAAAGTTGTTACACAGGATTAACAGACTGGCATTGCTGCAGCTGTCAACCCAGAGCTCTCTTATCCAGTGGCTGCATGTTATAAAAGGAGGCATTTTGTTATTTGTTTTTGTACCCTATCCACTTCCAAAAAAGATTTGAAACAATTTTCATGGAGCACACAATATAAAATGCAGCCATTGATTCAAAATAAGTTAAGTAGTCAAGAATTTAGAAAAGGAAAGCATTCTATTAAGGAACTGGTGCTAATCTTCTCAGAGCTTCCTTGTTTTCTAAGTACAGAGGGGAACTTGGAGGACTGTGTAGCCTTCATGGGAAAATAAGGAAACACTGAGATATCAGGAGAATTTTTGCTAGGTCATTGCACTAAGAGACATCCATGGGAGTTTTTATATACTTGAGCACATAAGTAATGTCTCAGTAACCATTTTAGAAAGAAACTACACTAATATATTGATATTTCTTATATCAGCCTTAGTGAAAATGGAAGCCCTCATCTGGAACTACTATAAGTTTCTTCTAAATCATTGTTCAGTTAAGGCATTTAAGCCAGCTAAATGGAATGAACCCGCAGCTGTATTTCATGATAGTTGAAAAAAGCTTGAAGCATCTACATATTAAATAAATAATATAAACTTCATCATTGCCATCTGTCTTGAGTGTAGAGCAAGTGGAACTCTTTCAAAAACTAACATATTACATAGCTGTCTTCATACTCACTAGTGACATGATCTGTGATTGCTTGCCATGTACCTTCTACCATTGTTTTCTGCCAGGCTTTTAGCAAAAAAAATGATAATTATGAGTTTTGAAGATGCTGAACAGTATCTTTATGAAGGTGAGCTATTGAAGTATCTCTGAGCACAGCCAAACTTGTTTGTAAAGACAGGGTTGGAGTCACAAGTACTCCGATGAGCACTGTGTAACTGTTAATAACATGCTGGCCTTTGAATTTCAGGTACAGTGGTGGAGGAAAGCAATGGTTCTGATGAGATGGAAAATTCAGATGAAACAAAGATGTCAGAAGAGATACTGGCTTTGGTGGATGAATTTCAACAGGCATGGCCTCTGGAAGGCTTTGGGGGAGCACTGGAGATGAAGGGGCGGCGTCTAGACCTGCAGGGGATACGGGTGCTGAAGAAAGGTCCCCAGGATGGAGTGGCCAGAAGCTCTTGCTATGGAGACTGCAGAAACGAAGATGATGAAGCAACAGAATGGGTAAGAGTTTGCCAACTCAGTCCTCATTGAGTGGTAGCCAAGGTCTTTCGGGACTCCTAGTATTTGAAGTATGAAGTTGTTAGACGTGGCACTACTTTACTCCACACTCCAGGGCAACCTTCACGTTGGTATGTCCTCCAAGGAAGCATTTCATGTTACTTAGGCATGCCCAGGTCTTCTGAGAGGTGGGAGGAAATGGGATGTGTGTGAAGCCTACAGACTTGAAACTACCCTATCAGATCTTTTCCTTTTCTGTGTCCTCTATACTCTTGGAGAGTAGGTGATTTTATTCATTTCACTAACCATTTTTCCTTTAGACCTCTTAAGAATTAAACTGAAGCAGACATAGTATTTCACACCTGTAGTTCCAGCACTCAGAAGTCTGAGGCAGGAGGATGATGAGCCTGGGAGTTTGAAATCAACCTAAACAACACAGCAAGACCACAGCTTGAGCGGTGGGGGAGAATTAGCCTTAAGGAGAGAGCTTAACTCTAGCACAGGACTGGGTTTTTTCACTTTTGTTCTTTTCAAACTTTATTTTAAAAACATTTAATTCACCCTTAATTATAATTATTCACAGGGTACAGTGGTATTTCAAAACATGTACAATGTGCAGTGAGCAAATCAGGCCAATTAGCATATCCATCTGGGCTGTTGGGTTTTTTGTCAGGTGGAGTGAAATTTGAACTTAGGGCCTTGCACTTTCTAGGCAGATTCTCAACCACTGTGCCACAGCCCCATACCTCCATTTGGGTTTCTTTTTTTTTTTTTTCTTTGATAGTACAGGGGATTGAACTCAGAGTCTTGAATTTGCTAGGCTTGAGCCATACCTTCAGCTCTTTTTGCATTGGTTATTTTTTAAATAGAGTCCAGGTTGGCTTGGATAGGGATCCTCCAACTGTGCCCAGCCATTGGTTGAGATGGAGTCTGTGGACTTTTTGCTTGAATGATGATCCTCTGGATCTCTACCTCCTGAGTAGCTTGGATTATAGACTTGAACCACTGTGCCCATCCTATCTGTATTATTCGTAAAGCCACTGATACCCGCATTGAATGAGAGATTTGCTCATTGGTCTTGTTTGTCTCTAACATATTTCTGTTTGCCAGATCACATTCCAGGTCAAACGTGTAAAGAAACCCAAAGGAGATAATAAGAAAATGCCTGAGAAAAAGCTAGAATCAACTCAAGCAGAAAATGGGCATCGTTACCAAGCAAATCTCGAGATCACAGGCCCAAAAGTGGCATCTCCTGGGCCACAAGGTAAACTTGGATGTTTAAGATGCCAGTTTCTTCTTTTATATCTTACTGTCTCATTTCTCACAAGTGATGTGTGTTTGACTTAAGTAGTTCAGATGCAAAGATAAAATGGCATTATCAGTCATTGGTATAAAAGGTTTATTTTGCTATTTACCTGACTTTTACCATTGAATATTTGACTTTTATATTCTTATCACTTTAAGTTTAATGACCCAGTTTATGACAGTCCAGTGTGATAAATAAAAGTATGAGTTTGGAATACCTGAGTTCAAACACTATTTCTGCCGTTTATTCCCCTGTTCTGTATTTTTCTTACCTATAAAATAGGGGTAATAACCATATCTACTTTATATGGTGGTGGTAAGAATTATATAACTTTATCCATGTAAAGTGCTTTAAATGTCCTAGACACCATAGGGTGCAATAAATAATAACTACTATGTTTTTTGTGTATGAAATACACAATGTATCGGATGAATGTTTTGGAACTTCTCCCAGGAATGAAACACATATATATCAAGGTTTGGCATGTACTTTCAGGGGTCTCTAGGCTTTAGGTAAAGGATCATTGCACCCAGTTGACTTTGTTTTATTTATTTATTTGTTTGTTTTGGTGGTGCTGGAGTTTGAACCTAGGGCCTTGTGCTTGCTGGGCAGGCCAGATGCTTTCCTACTTGAATCATGCCCCTGACCCCCAGCTGATTTTTTTCTGACAAAATAGTGGTGACAATTCCTTTTTTTCAATGTTACATTTTTTTTTTAAAAAGGAATATTTTTTACCATTTTAGACTAAAAATTTAACTCATTAAAATGTGTCTTACTTAACTTGGTACACTGTTTACCAAAACTGAAAACAGAAGGCACATAATAAAATACAAAGAATGGGGGAAGATTGGTTAAACCCCAAAATAAATTTGTAGTTAAGTCCTAAGAAGGACACCAAAAAGGGTATTTTGTTATCACTGGATTTAAAGGCTTGAATTACTTCTACTGTTAAAGGAAGCTAGCATTTGTTGTTACAGAAAGAAAACCACTTTCCTCTATTAAATCTGTGTCTCTATCATTGAAAAAGATGTCCAAGTTATAAAACACGGAAATAAAAATTCCAGTGAGTTAAACATTAAATATAATAAGTCATGACAGAAGAAAATTTAGATGAGTTATTTACATTCTCTTAAGGTAAAGGACTTTAAGGCAGAGATAAAGACCAGAGTAATAACTCTGGTATGAGAAAGACAAAGAACTGAAACAAAGTGATTTTTACACAATACTTGTATACATTTACAGAATATATGACAAATAAAGGATATCAGTGTCATTTAAAGTATGCCTGCACACTCAGGTGGAGCAAGCATAAAGCCTACAGTTCAAATCCCAGCACAACCAAAATGATTCTAGCAATAAATGAAAATTTAAAAAGAACACCTACACTGACATGAAAAAATACAGTATGGTCTTTCAATAAAACTGCAGTTATTTCACCAAATATATCTACCTACATAAATGTCTCTACACATGTGAAAAAAATGTAAACACAAACAGCAGATTACCGCTTTTGCTTATCAAACTGTTTTCAAATGTATAATACACAGTGAAAGTTAATAAAATTAATTGGGGTAGTTTGACAAGATGTATCAAAAAAATTTAAGAATATACCTGTGAGCCAGGCATGTTGGTGCACATTTGTAATCTCAGCACTGTGGAGGTACAAGCAGAAGAATCAAGAGTTCAGGGCCATCCTGGACTCCATAGTGGAAACTTGCCCTCTCAAAAAAAGAATATGCCAGTAATGCTTCTACTAATTTACCCTAGATAAGTCATCTTATTAACATGTTGCTCATGGTGTTGCTTATCATAGTAAAAATTCATAAACAGGCCTAAATAAATTACAACCTGGATGCCATATACTATGCATCCAAAGTATTTGTAATATAGTGAGTTTGCAAAAACATTTTATAAACAGCACAGTCAATATTTTAATTCTTATAGAATAGTAAATATGCTGTTTCATCGACTACTTTTTTTTGCATTTGAATTTCTCTGAAATTAAGATACACCTTAAAATTAATTGTATCTTAGTAATAGTTGGCAGGTCTTTTCTTTCTGAAACTGTATAAAGTAATATGCACCTTACAGTTGATCACATCTTAGATTTGATGAAATACAGCATAATAAGTAAGCACATAGAAACAAATCTAAAGTGAAATCACCAAAATGTTGTGAGTGGTCATCTCTGGGTGCTGAAAGAGCTATAGGTAATTTTTATTTTCTTCTGTATGACCGTTCCATTTTCTAATATTTTACGTAAGCCTTTGTTACTTTCATAAACAAAAAACATACAAGTTTCTTATAAAAGTAAAAGGTAAGGCTCTATGTGGCTGATCTAACAGGAGGCCACGTAAGCAGATTTTTGGTGGTTTGTTTTGTTTTGTTTTGTTTTGCAGTGCTGAGCTTTGTACATGCTAGGCAAGTGCTCTGCCACTGAGTTACCCTCCCGGGCCCACATAAAGCAAGTCGATATACCCAAGTAGGACATTGGATATACTTGCAAATGAGATCATGAAACCACTCACTATCACTAAAGTGAAAAGTTCTCATGTGGAAGAGATGCAAAAATACTAGAGAGGTTCAGCGTCTCAGTTTTTAAGTAAATATGGATTGTGTTAACTATCAACTACTAACTTCCTGGTAAATTCTGACAAAGTTCTAAAGCAAATTACTAAGCAGATTGTTTATGAGCCTGTGGGGGGAATGGAGGTAATTGAGAGCCATAATAGGTTTACTAAGAACTAATAATAACACTTAACTAATTTCATTTCCTTTTTTGGTTAGGGCTACTAGACTGGAAGACCAGGGAAGTGCCATAGACATAATATAACTGGATTTCAGCAAGGCATTTAACAGAGCCTCTTATGATATCCTTGTGAACAAGATGGAGAGATATGGGCTCGAAGTTTCCCACTGCCTTCAGGATAAAGTACAAACTTCCTAGTGTGGTGTATAAGACCCTTTACAGCCTGGCCTCTCTCTAGCCTTCAGCACCATACTTTGAAGCAACCATGCTCTTATTTTACATCTGTGCCTTTGCACATGCTGTTCCCTCTGCCTGGAATGTCTTTATGCCACCTTATACAGTGCTAAAATATCACTTACCTTAAACTTGAAACTCAAGTGCTATTTTCTTCCTTGGTACCTTCAAGCATAATTAGTTGCTGTTTCCTTTGTGCAACTGTTCGATCCCTTTGCTAGCATTTACCCTATTACATTATAATGTTTGTTTATGTTCATCTTCCTCACTAGACTGTGAGCTCAAGAGCAGGCTGTCTAAGTACTCCTGTCTGTATCCCCAATGTTTTACCCAGTTCTGAGCCCCTTTAATACGTGCTCAATAAATATTTCTCAAATGAATTTCTTAAATATAAAAGGAAAATAAGCTTTATTGTGCAGTGTATGGTTTGTTTAAAGTGACTAATTAACAGAATTAATTTGAAATTCTCCTTAACTATTCTTTTCTGTACTTCACGTGGTTTTCTATTGCTGATAAATTCCTACAGTATAAAAAGTACTATATAAAAGTAAAGTTCTTCCTAGCCATCCCTTGTCATTCCTTGAGAAGTCTCCCTCCCAGATAAGACTTGGTTTCACTCTTGTTGGGAACTTGATCTAAGTAAAGGGCCTGGACCCAAAAGGTCATATCTGGGACCAATAAACAGAGTTGTAGCAGCCCTAGAGTGCTTTTCTTTCTTTCTTTTTAATTTTTCTTTTTTTTTCCCAGCGGCACTGAGGTTTGAACTCAGAGCCTCGCACTTGCTAGGCAGGCGCTCTTACCACTTGAGCCACTCCACCAGCCCAAGCCCTAGAGAGCTTAGAAAAGTGTGGTGACTGGAACCTTGCATGTTGAGTCAAAAGACCTGGGTCTGAATCTCAGCTCTGCCACCTGCTATCAGGGGACTTCGGGCAAATCACTCTCTGAGCCTCTGTTTTCTCATATGAGACCTGAGGATTAAAGCCTACCTTGTTAGGTTATGAGTGTAAAACACTTAGCTAGATTTGAGCTAAGTAAGTGGTCTTGAAATAAATGGTGACCTTACAGTACCATCATTTTCCATTCTACTTTTCTTTATAGCAGTGATTCTCTACTAGGTTGATTTTGTGCCCTGTCAGACATTTGGCAGTGGGGAGGGTGTGCTAGTGACACCTAGTGGGTAGAGGCCAAGGATTCTCTAATGCACAAGACAGTTCCCTACAACAAAGAATTACCTAGTGCAAAATGTCAACAGGGTCAAGTTGAGAAATCCTGCTTTAGAGATAGGTGTTTATACTAAGTTAGAGTTGCCCTTATAAAATCAAAATATAGAAGGGGAAAAATTAAATTTGCCAAGAACATCTTAACTCTTTATTTCATGTTGATTAACTGTAAATCCAACCAAGACTTCTATTTTTACCTCACTATCTTTGAGAATAAGACTTTATTTGAAGATAATTTTTATTATCATTGCTGTGAATGACAAGATTTTAACTACATCTGTTTTTTGGTGGTAGAAATTCTAAAGACTGGAATAATGAATGACTGGCACCATCAAACACACCAGTCTGGGTGAAGTAATCACCAGGGAAAATGACACCTTAGCTTCTGTACATGTACAGTTCTGTCCATTCATAACATATTTTCCTTCTAGGAAAAAAACGTGACTATCAAAGTCTGGGGTGGCCCAGCCCAGATGAGTGCCTCAAACTCCGCTGGGTAGAGCTGACTGCCATCGTGAGCACCTGGCTTGCAGTTTCTTCAAAAAACATTGAGTGAGTATCTTCAACCTTCCTTCCTTCATGGCGCCTCAGCTAACTTCAAGGATGCCCTTTTTTTTCAGCAGTGGTCAAAAGGGTCACCTTTCTGGAGCTATGGTTAGCAAAAGAATGACCATTGCTGCCCACAGATGGACTCAACCGACTGTAGAGAAGCAGTGAATATGCTTCTTAGTGCACCCTTCCCAGGGCCTTCTTCCTTTGCAAGCTATCAGAAGTCATGTATAACTTAGTTTGAATTGAAGACCAGATCACTCTTTTTAGAAACACAAAATTCAAGGTCTCTCATTGACATCATATACTTGTATGGAAGCCAGAGCAATTCCACATTTATCAGCACCTGCCAAGATTCAAGCTGAGTAATGTGGCCTCTCTGGTAATTGCTTCTTCTCCTGGGGTACTCATTCTCTTTTTGCTGGCCTTTTTTCTACCCTGTAAGTATTGGAGTTTCCCAGGATTTTCTACTAAGCCTTTGTATAATCATTTCCAGTTAAGCTGATCTGCTCTAAGAACTTCAGTCACCATTGATGTATTGACAACTCCCAGATTTGGATCTCTAAACCAAACCATTCTTCAAAGCCTTCAACTTTTTTATCCAGTAGGCTACTGGACTTCTCTGCATTTCTTTTAGGCACCCCAAGCTCAAGAAAACTAAACCCATAATTTTGTTACCCATTGTCCATCTAAAAAACATCGTTGGTTTTGTTTGTTTTTCCATTTCATATGCTTAGTAAGTTTCTTCGGCAGTGCTTAGGCCATAAACCCAGTGTCACCCTTAATAATCCTTTTTCTTTATCCCTTAAACCAGTCTACTAACATTTCTTATTCCTACTCCCTGAATACTTTTCAAAACTATCTTACTTTTCCTCATCACCATTCCTGCCTTCTTACACCAGAGCACTGCCATTCCTACCTAGTCTCATGCCATGGTCTTCCAGCTGGGCCTCTTGCTTTGTTCACTCTTGCCTATGTTCAGTCCATTTGCTCCACAGTACTGAGGATTCTCTGACTGTAAGTCAAATCTCCTTAATACAATCTGGTAACTTCTTACTACTATTTAGAGTGGTCCAAATGGCCTTCACGTATGGCAGGTCCTCTGCCTGTGGTGATGGTCTCACTGCTTTTCTCACCTGGCTCATCCTTTTGGTTTCTACACAAATCTTTCTCCCTCAGGGAAGCCTTTACTAACCTCCTCATAGTGTGGAGGAAATATGTACTCTCCTATGGTGTATTTTCATTATACTGTATTTTTATCTTTTAAAACTTGCCACATCTGCAATAAATGAATTCCTCACAAAATATGAGCACTGTAACAACAGGGGCTACTTGAGTGTTCCTTATTATAGCCTTGGTGTCTGACATGAAAGAGGCTCTGAATAAATAATGATTGGATGAATAAATGTTTGCCTAATATAAGTTAAACTTTTTAAATAGCTTTTTTTTTTTCATTTTAATTTTAAATAAAATTCGGGAGGCTGGGGTCATGGCTCAAGTAGTATAGCACCTGCCTTGCAATTGTGAGGACAGGTTTAAGTCCTTCTACCACCGAAAGAAATAAGTAAAATATAATAAAAATAAAATTTGACAGTGCCCACTTGCCATATCAGTGCCATTGTCAGTTCCAGTAGTACAGTCTACACTATTTAGCCTGTGTAGAGTTAAGAAATGATGACTTAGGGTCATGAAGAGAAGTCTTGCACATGATAAAGTCCACAACTATGCATAAAATTTTAATCTAACCTTCAGATAACTTTTTCTGTGAGGACAAGTGTGCTTCTAGACATTAAGGAAAAGTAAAAGGGAGGAACCAGTTGTAGGTATTACTGCTATTTGTACCCTGGAAGAAGAAATCCTGAAAGAAAACCCCCTTGTTTCAAAACCTTTCCGGTGAAGGATAGCACACAGAAGTTACGAGCAGATGATTGGTAGTGCTCTCTCTCCAACCACTGGGACTTCTCATGTGCTAATCTCCATTTTCAGCATCACGGAGCATATAGACTTTGCTACCCCTATACAGCAGCCAGCAACGGAGCCACTTTGCAATGGCAATCTCCCCACAAGCATGCACACCCTGGACCACTTGCATGGGGTGTCCAACCGAGCCAGCCTGCACTACATGGGTGAGAGTCAGCTAACAGAGGTGAGTGCTCACCTTGTTCAGCCTGGTGTGTCTTAAGCCTCACAGCTAGGATGCAACTGATGACAGAGAACACAGGTAGCCAGGCCTTTTTTGTTTTCTCTTTTTTGCTATTTTTCAGTTGCCTGTTACCTAAGTAACTTTTTTGGGCCTAGCCTCATTTCTTTCAGGCCCTGGGACTGAGCTTATGCTTTAAAAATAAAGACCATGAAATTCTAATTTTGATTTATCCCTCAAGGTGGGAGATATTTTGCCTTGCCATCAGACAGAGGCTTGTTTTTTTATTATTTTGGTGTTTTTTGGTTTGTTTGGGGGTTTTTTTGTTTTTGTTTTGTTTTTTTTGTGATACTGGGGTTTGAACGCAGGGCCTTGTGCTTGCTAGGCAGGTGCTCTACCACTTGAGCCATGCCTCCCCATCCCTTTTTTGCTTTAGTTATTTTCCAGATAGGGTCTCATGCTTTTTGCCTGGGATCAGAGTTGTTCCATGGTCCTCCTATCGTGTAGCTGGGATTTTAGGCATATGCTACAACATTCAGCTAGTTTGTTGAGATGGGACTCTCACTAACTTTTTGCCTGGCCTTTCCTTAAACTACAGTCCTCTGAGTGTCTGAGATTACAGGTGTGTACCACTGTACCTTTCCTCCTATTGGCATTCTTAACAAGGAAGGGAAGGAGAACACACCCAGCATATGCTTAGTAAAGAATATACCTCAAAGAAGAATTGGAAAGCATATCACAGATATCCACACTAGAAGATGAGTTAAATAAATTTTGGTACAGATTTGATAATATACAGTAGTACCATTAGGAAACATATGGTAGAAATATATTTACTGGCTTTAAGAAACTTTCAGAATTTATTCTGTGAAAACATAGGTTACAGTATGCCATGCAAGCCCATATTTTGGGAGAAACATAATATAGTCATGCACAGAAATATATCTGAAAAATATATCTAAAGGTATTACTAGTGGCAGTGTCTAGGTGGAGGAGTTACAAGTAGTTTTTATTTCCTTTATTTTTCAATATTGCTATAATGAATGTGTCCCAGAGAAGCAATGTGCTCTTGGGCTCCAGTGCCCAGTTGAACAACAGCGGTGTTATCTAGGTCCTGCCTCATTTTCATTCCTCTCATCTTCTTTTTCCAGGTATTACAGAATCTTGGCAAAGACCAATATCCACAACAGTCACTTGAACAAATTGGCACCCGCATTGCCAAAGTTTTGGAAAAGGTGAGTCACCCACAGGAAGGCTGGAGACTGTTGCCCACCTGTGACTTCTCCAGATTATGTGTCCCTAAGTGGGCTCTCACCTCTTCTGTTCATGGCTAACACTGGGCAACTAAAGAGATAGTATGAAATGACCCTATTAGAGTGTTTAAATCACTTTCCTTCACCTTTTCTATCACCAGTGAATATTCTTTTCTCCCTCCTTCTTTACCCCGTGCTGAAACTTACCCAGTTGGTTCTCTCTTCTTTATGTCAGCCTGGGTATATAGAAATGGTGGTATTGGGAACCATGGAATCGAAGTATAGAAATAAGTCAGGTTTTCTGGTGATGATGAAGTTAGAGATTTTAGATGGTCAGTTGAAACACCACTTGAAATATCTTTTGTCTTGAAAGCAGGAAACAAAGTACTTTTATAACTATATTTTCATAGAACCTGTCTTTTATACAGAAAATATAATTGGAAAAAAGGCTACTCTTCTACTCTGTGTAATATTTTTGTAAAGAGAAGGAGTTTTTAAATTTTAATTTGATTACTTTATGGCTAAGAACCCCTCTACCTTATTATTACATGATATTTATGAGGTTATATAACATCATGAGTAAGAGAAGCAACTCAGCTTCCAGTATGGATATGACAGAGTGAGATAACAATGTCCTTTTGTGTATTACACATGGAAAAACCATTGGCAAATTCCACTTATAATTAAAGTAGGACACATATGTGATCTCCAGACTCCAAAACAAATTAAAGGTTGCCAAAAGTGATTAACATCAACCCAGAAGCCATACAAGATGAATTTTAGCAGATGCCAGGCTAGCATAGCAATTTTATAATATGTTAACAAAAGTCCACTTACAGGAATTTTCTACATATAACCCAGCCAGGAAAATCCTGATAGATAAAAACAGGGCAAATACAACATTTATATAAACATAGGAAAAGAGCAGCAGGAAAATAATTGTTTTGGGACAAATTCTAGTTCAGTCTAAGACTTTTTGCCTTGAACTAAAAAAATCATACTAAACAGTTTTCTTTATGAATAAAAATCACAGGCAAAGGTATAAAACCACAGGGAGAGATTAGAAAAGGATATAAAAAGATGAGGTAGAAAACAGAAATACAGGTTGAGAAGCCTTTATCTACAATGCTTAGAAAAATAGAAAAAATGTCACAGCAATGATGACAAAATTAGGAGCAGCAAGGAGAGTACAGCACAAACAGAAAGAGGCATATGGGAGAAGTTTAAAAAGAAAGGAAAATATATTTAAAACTAGAATTAAATAAATAAGACTTATTTTATTTCTGTAAAATATACTTTGTTAAACGGCATATTGCCAGAAAAACAACTGATCCAGAACAGTCAGCAACAATGCTTATCAATGAGAATTATTTGACTTGAAAGAGTCCTTGACATTTACCCACTTAACATCTTGCACAGCGGATTGGTCTCCATGAGAGATCTTTCCACTTCAGAACAACTGTACCCTGCATAGGGCATATTTTGTTCTGTGTTACTGTCAGTCTTAGAAGAAGTAGAGTTCTAAAGACTTTTCTCTTCATTTAAAAAAAAAATGTGAAGTGTGTACAGAAACGTGAGTGTGAACTCACTGGCAACTGGGACTACAGCATAAAGAGTCCAGTCCATTTCCAGGACAGGTGATGAGGAATTCTGAATACTGAAACTTGAGCCAATGACATAGTTGAGTCTAGACCCCTGTATTGAACTGATACAGATTATGTAAGAAAATCATAAATTAGGATCAGGAAAGCTAAAACTTGAGATAACTGGCTGAAAGGAATATTTGAAAAGAAAATCAACAGTGTTAGAATTAGAAATAAAAAAATTATTTCCAAATGAAGACCAAAGAAGTAGCACAGAGCAAATAAAATGGCTATTGCCTAAGGAAAAAGAAAACAGAAATGAGGAGTTGTTTTTTAATCAAAAAGAAATAAAGGTAAAGGGATCTGAGAAAAAGTGATATAGATATAAAAGAAAAAAGACACAATACACATATAATAGGAGTCCTGAAGCAGAAACCAAAGCAATGAAGCAAAATAAATACTAAAAATTATAATTCAAAAACATGCTTCTTAAAGAAAAAAACAACTTGAAAGTACATACTGAAAAGGCACCACATTGTTGGGAAAATCAACCAGTATAGTCAATTCTAAAAAGTATTCTAGGAACTAGGGTGTTACCCAAGTGGTAGAGTGCCTACCTAGCAAGTGTAAGGCCCTGAGTTCAAACCATAGTACTGCCAAAAAAAAAGATGAAAATATTCTGGTGAAAGTATTATTAAAAAAAAAAACATCTTTGAATATGCAGGTAAAATTTTAAAAAAAGAAATATTACCAGATTTGTAAACTATGACTCAGTTCCAGAAGACAATGGAGTACGAACATATTTAGGATACTTAAAAAAATGTAAGCTGGATGGATGCCAGTGGCTCTCCCCTTTAGTCCCACCTACTTGGGAGGCTGAGATCCAGAGGATCATGGTTCAAGGCCACATGGGGGCAAAAGTTTATGAGATTCCATCTCAATCAGCAGCTGGGTGTGGTGGCTCATGCCTGTAATCCCAGCAATGACAGGAAGCGTAAGAAATAGGAGATTTGCAGTCTAGGCCAGCCGGGGCAAAAAGTGAGACCCTGTTTTAAAAATAACTACAGTTGAAGGCATGGCTCAAGTGGTAGAGTACCTGCCTAGCAAGCACAAAGCCATGAGTTCAGCACCTCCAAAGACAAAAATGAGCTAAAGACTTTATGTGCTACTAATTGACTATCAATATAGAGTCCACAGGCAAATTATGATGAGCATTTGGCAAATACTTTTCCGAAGAACCCCTTCTTGAGAAGGCTACCTAACTGGAGAATGAGTTTCTGACAACCTAAATCACCAGATCAGCATTGGAATAAGGGACTAGTGGTAAGCATGGTATTTTTTACCTGCAAAGCTAAGACTACTGGCTCTAAGAGAGACAGTATCATATTCTCGGAAAATACAGCTACAGTACAACTATCAAAAAATGGTGAGAGAATATATGAAAGGTAAAATAAGTTCACTGATTATTTAATAGTTATTAATTGGGAATTAAAGAATGGTGGGAATCAAATCCTGGTGGAGAAGGAAGAAAATATAAGTAAGAAAAGAATAGAAGGGAACCAATAGAATATAACCCCAAAAGTATAGAGAAATACTGCAAATTAGTATGTAAGTGTAATGTAAGCTCTCCTTAATATGAAAAGATGAAGTGACAATATGCAAATGAGTAAGTATAGTGAAAGAATACACATACACATGTAATTGCAGATGCATTCGGGGACTGAGGACAAGCATATTAATCATAACCATAAACGCAAATGGGCTTAGCTCACCTATTAAAAGAATAAGACTCTCAGATTAGTTAAAATATATACCCCCACCCAAAGAAAAGCATAACCAAAGATTATGCTGTATTCAAGACACACACCTAAATAAAATTTAGTAAGACTTAAAATAAAATTTTAAATGGACAAGACATTCAAAACAAATGCAAATAAGAGAGAAAAGTTTATGATTCCATACCTGACAAGGTAAAATTTAAATCAAAAGGCTTGAAGAAACAAAGAAGTATATTTTATAATGCTAAAGGATGATATAGTTCACAATAAGCTTATAAACATTATTAATGTTTATTTACCCAATAATTTAGAAACAGATTTCATGAGGTAAAGGAGATTCATAAAGAAATAATTAAAATACACCCCAATAATAGTAGGCAAAAAATTAGTAAGGATATAAAAGACCTAAACAGCATAATCATTAAAGTAAATTTTAGTAAGTATATCAAGTGCTAAACTTCAGTAATAGAAAATTCATCTTTTTTTCATTTGAAGCATAGAATATTCATGAAACTTGATCATATCAAAGCAATGGATAAGTTCAAATAAATCCAAAGGAAAAAATATAAATAGCATTCTCTGACCATAATGCAAAAAATAAAGTAATATAAAATTTAACAATAAAAAAATTAAAGCCCTTCTACTTGGAAATTCTAAAACATATTTAAACAGCTGTTGAGTCAAAGGGGAAGTACAAAATAAAAATTATGGGCTCTTGAAAATAATAGTAAAAACAAAATAGCAATCTGTAGAATAGATTAAAAGTTATTAGAAAAATTTTCATAACATTAAATACTACATCAGTAAAATGAAAAAAAGGAAGAAAATGTAAACACTCACAGGTAGGAAGAAAAAATAAACTGAACCAAACCAAAACAAAACAATTAACAAAGAAAAAAAAATGGCATAGTTACATAGAAAACTGGTAGAAATAATGAATCTAAAAGTTGATTTCTTTGATATATATTAATGGACAGATTACTAGCTAATAAATGAAAAGGGATTGCCAGAATAAACAGAATTTTTTTTTAAAATGGGAACTAACCACCTAGGATATTTAAAGAATCAAACTACTTTGAAAAAAATCAGAAAGTACTTTGCATAATTTATACACATAAATTTAAAGACCTAAATGGAGTATTTTTAAAGAGAATACAACTTATAAAATTTGACCTCCGTAGGTACAGAGTCTAATTCAAAAAATTGCCAAAGAAGAAATAGAGAAAACATTTAATTCCAACCATACATTTAATAGGCCTAGATGACTTCACAGGACATTTCTATCAAACTTTAAAAAGAAAAATGCAGTCTGGGTGTGGTGGTGCATATCTGTAATCCCAGCACTCAGAAAGATCATGAGTTCAAGGCCTGCAGCCTTCTACAAAGTGAGTTCAAGGCCATCCTGAGCTACATAGCAAGATTCTGTCTTAAAAATCAAAGATAAACAAAAAACAAAGAAGTGTTATTGCTTCTGTATTTCAGAAGCATTAAAATGAAAACTTTTATTTGAAAATGAAGCTAATGTAACACTGCTTGGTTCCCACATCTGAAAAAGTTGACATCACAAATAAAACTACAAACTTATTTCATTTGTTAACATCAATTCAAATGTGATAAAGAGAACATTAACAAACAAGCCAATCGCATATTTTAAAAAATACATCATGACCAAGGTCTTTATTCCCGGAATGCAAAATTAGTTCACTGTTTGAAAACTTAATATTCTTAATATTCACAGAGGTAAAGAGGAAAATCATTTAATCATACCCAAACTTGCACAAGCATCAGACATAACCTTTGCTAATTTATATTAAGAGCTCTAAATTAGGAATTGATAGATGCTTTTCTTAACATGATTTCATGTATATGCATACATATATGCATATATGGCATATATGTGGAAAAGCCAGACCTTACTACTGCTGTCTAGGTACTCTCCTGCTAAAGCTGAGAACAAGAATGTCCATTGTATCTATTTTACTGATATAGAGAAAGAAAACAAAGACATGTATCTAACAAGATCATGTCTGGAAAACCAACTATAAAGAATAGGAAGATTTAATCAAGTAACAGGTTAAAAATTAATACATATCTTAAAATTAATATTCAGGGCTAGAGATGTAGCTCAGAGTAGAGTATTTGCCTAGCTTGCATGAGGCCCTGGGTTTGATCCCCAGCACTGCAAAAAATAATAATAATTATAATTATAATAATATTCCAGTTGGGATGTAGTAGGTCAGGATAGGTCAGTGCATTGCAGTAACTTGAAGTCCAGATACATTTCAAAACCAAATGTATAAAGACATCAAAGAACTGTGGAATATGGGATATGAAAGAACTAAATTGCTGATGACCAAAGAACCTTTTCAAGATGAGTTGGTGATTGCCAGCTGTCCTTTTCTCCCCCTGGGACTTTTGATCCTGGCCATGAGCTAAGAATTGGGCTTAGTCCCAGGAGAAAGCCAGTGCTAAGAAAGTGAAGCTTGCATCAGTTGCTCAAGGGGGGATTAACAGACTGGAAATTAAACACATGGTCACTCTTTTTCCCAAGAGGCATTTAATTAGAGACAGAGCCATAGAAATCTGGGGAATTAGCCTAAAAGCTTAGAAAGGGTAAAATGAAATAGTTTCATCTCATACCACTTAGGAAACAAAGAGCCAAATTGAAGTACATGACTGGACTTTCCCTCAAGATTTTCATCTTGAGCCTGCCTGGATGGGACACTGAAGTGGGCTGGGAACCTCTTAAAAGGAAAGTTTTTTCAAGGGTGAAGAGGCAGACAATCAGGGATACTCAATCAAAGTCCTTAGAGAGCAACACCTGAGGAACAGGGATGACCCAAGGACAGATTAAGTTTTATTAACCTTCAGGACAGCCCAATGAAGCTCATTATCTGACAGGAGTGAGTCCGTACATTCCTCATCCCATGTGCCTAATGGAATGCGAGAGAGCCTGTCCTAGTGAAGTATAGTGCCCTTGGGAGCCTCTGTGGTTCTACATAGAAACACCAGCAGGCAGTTTTAAAATACTAGAAATGCAAAGCAGAAACATTTGACAATGACAAGGTAGAATGTAGACAAAAGGAGTAGGCTTATAGGTAATCCAGGTATTATAGTTAAGAGACAAGGACTTTAACCACCATAAATAAGCTTATGGAAACAGAGGAAAAAGATGGAGAAAATAGATTAAAAGGGTATTTTCACCAGAGAGCTAGAAGCTATAAAAAAGAATCAGATTAGCATTCCGGAACTTTAAAACACAGTAATGAAGAACTCTGAGTAGATTTAATATCTCAATGAATATAGCAGAGCCCAGTATTGGTAAACTAGAGTAATATGCAAACTAAATCCCACAGAAAGAAAAACCTGGTAAGACTAAGAAAAATGACAGAAAAACATCTAGGGTCTCCAAGGTCAAGAAGAAAGAGAGTGGGGCTGAAGAAATGGACAAGAATATCCCAAAATGGATGAAAGATATCAGCCTAAAGATTCTAGGGGCTCAACAGACCCCAAACAGAATAAGTACAAGGAAAATCACACCTAGGCACATCCCAGTGAAATCCTTGAAAATCAAAATAAAATAGCCAGTGAAACTGGAAACAGATGCCCATCAACAGAAGAATAAAATGTTTTAAATAAAATGTGACTGGCAAATGAACAACTGTAAGTCTGACAACCAACTTCTTATCAGGAACAGTGGAAATGGAACAAAGGAATGACACACTTCAGTTGCTGAATGACAACACTGCCACTCAAGAATTTTGTATCCTACAAAAATGAAGTAAATAATCACTGTGTATGATATTGGCCAAAAAGGAAAATAGATAAGTGGAATAGAATGGGAAGGCCATAGATGTATGGTCAAAATGATTTTCTATAAGAACACCACAATATTTGAGTGTGGAAAATGAAATTCCCTTCAAATATTTTTGGAAAGACTGACTATTCATATAGAAGGGAAAAAAACCTCAACCCCCATAGTTTACATCACCCACAAGTCAATTTGAATGAACCCCAGGCATAAACAACAAAGTAAAGCTAAAACAGTAACACTACCAGAACAAAACATAGATTGAAGAATATCTTCTAGTCCTTAACATTTATAGGTAAAGATGTTTTAGGGCATAAAAATCATGAGTTATAAGAAAAAATGATAGTTGACGTCATCAAAATTAAAACTTCTCTTCAACAGATACTTCAGAACATAGGCAAGCCACAGACTAGGATAAAACACAGCACATGTGTCACATAGGCCTTGAGTCCAGAATTTATGGGGAACTCCTTCCTACAAGTGCAAACTAAGGACCAATGACATATCACTTACATACCTTTTAGATAGTCTAAAATAAAAGAGTGATAATGACACACATTGGAGAGGGTATAGAGCAAGTAGAACTTTCATACATTACTAGTGGGAGTATAAAATGGGATCACTGTTTTCTAAACAGGTGGGCAACTTATTAAAATTTAAGCTTAAGTGAAACAGTAACTTTATGTTCACAAAAATACTTGTTAAAAAATGTTTCACAGTAGGCTGGTGGAGTGACTCAAGTGGCACCTGCCTAGCAAGCTTGAGGCCCTGAGTTCAAACCTCCGTGCCACCAAAAAAAGCCCAAAAAACTATAGATAGTTTCACAGTAGCCAATGAAATTGAAAGCAGTGAGATGCCCATCAATAGAAGAATGGGTAAATACAGGTGTATTCATATATTGCCTACTGTTCAGCAGGAAAGAGCCAACACAAATCTCAGCAATATGCTAACAAAGTTGAACATTAAAAAATGCATAACGTGTGATTCCAACAATATGAGATTATAAAATAGACAAAACTAGCCTGTTCGATGAACGTCAGGTCAGTGATTGCTCTGTTGATTGAGAAGCAGAATAAGAGCACTTTCTGGATTGTTGGATATTTCTGACTTTTAAGTAATTGTCAAAACTGGATGTTATGCTTAGGGTCTCAGTATTTCTTTCTATGTAAATTATACCTGAATTTTTCAAAATAAAGGTAAAAAATTTTAGACAACCAAAAATTGAGAAGTGTGTGTTGCCAATAGACTTACACTAAAAATCACTAAAGGGGAAAAAAAATAAATCACTAGCAGAGTTTTTTTTTTTTTTTCCAGGCAGAAGGAAAATTATCCCAGATGGAAGTTCACAAATACAAGAAATAGCAGAGAAACTGGAAAAGTTAATGCCAGTGTAAATATAAGTATGGCTATACAAAATAAAGATAATATATTCTGAAATTAAAACTCACGGCAACAGTAATATAAAAGGCAGAAGGGAATTGCATTAAGTAGGTAGTCTTCAGTTAGACAGTTCACGTTCATGCAGCTCGCAGGCCTCCTGGGCCTCACTCAGAAAGATGTGAGCCAGGAAAGGCAGCACACCACTATAGCAGCATTAGGTGTAAACCTCCAGAGTGCCCTCATAGTGCACACCTAGTCTGGGGTCCTATTCTCAGCCTGCTCTTTTTCTGCCAAGTGATAGCTCAGGGAACAAATCAAATGATTTAGTGTGGTAACTATCTTGACTTAAGTGTCATAAGTTCCAGGTGAGAATCAGTATGTTTTCTAAAAGCCCCATGAAGGCTGGAGGTGTGGCTCAAGTGGTAGAGCCCCAAGTTCAAACTCCAAATACACACACACACACACACACACACTCTCACACGTCCCATGGGCATGGAGTTCTGCAGAAGGACAGGACTATAAGACTACAAGATCCATGGCACTCAGAACCTCGAAGCCCTGGCTTCCCACCAGGTATTTGTGGTTTATTTACAGTCTCCTAGTCCAGATACAGTTCACCAACCAGGGTCATTTTTACCATAAGCTGTGTTGCCTGCTAACAGCTAACATCACCCGTTATTAGGTTTTCAGGGGAGAAGAGCTAGAAGATTAATCCAGCATTGCTTCCCATTGTAGGTTCACAGACCGGCCTCTATGACCCTGAGTTAACAACTTTAGTACAGCACTCAGACTTCAGAGTACATCAGAATCACAATCCTGTTAAAACACTGGGTGTAGGAGTGAGCTTGAGAATTCACATTTCTAGGAAGTTCCCAGATGATGTGGGTGATACTGCTCTTCTGAGGATCACAGAGAAAGCAGGCCTTAGCAGATGGCAGTGATAATAGCAGAGTGCCACTTTCCCACTTGCACCATTCTCAGAATACCATGGATCTCTATATTGTCTTGGCTTCAACTTTTAAAATAGTCTTTATCCTTTATTATTTCTTCCAATGCCCATTAGCAATTTTCTCCTTAGGGAGTTATTGAGTTTGCATTGCCACTAATTATCACCAACTGTCAGCAACTAACATTAGACTCCAATTTAGCCATCAATCAGTCAGCATTATCAGACTGTCAACTTGCTGCTGACATTGCTCTCCACACATGGTACTCAAAAGCCTCTGCAAAGGTCCCTGCCCTGTTGGCCCCAGATGTGCACCAAGCTACTGCCATTGCCACTACAGCCTGTTTATATGCCAGGTTGCCACGTAGTCCTGTTTAACCTTAAGAGCTGGTACAGAGTAGTTCTCCCATTATGTCCCCCACTTCCCAGGTGCAGGCTCACTGATACTACTCCATGCTTGATTGGATCAGTGGCCAACCCAACTTGATCATAGCCAACCTAGCAGCTCCAGCCTCTCCCTGATCACAGACCTAGCCACAAATGTGCAGTCTCAAGCTCATGTGCTTATCTACCGCTGCCACTACTCTGCAATGCTGACTTCCAATGGCCTTAGAACTCACTAGACAGGTCATTCGTAGTCACACGTCTTAGTAAGCCCTCATGGCCTTGCTTTTGCTAGAACAGCAGAGAACTGCAAACACAGGCACAGTGCAGTTTTTCATGTTTATCTAGAGGCCTGTCACTGTCTGGCAGCAGTCCCAAGTGAAACTCAGGGGCAGGGGACCAACATATGGGTGAGTGTGTAAACACCATGGCTTAGAAGTCGCAAGTTCCTCGCAACAGTCCATGGGCCCAGAGCCCAGCAATCCACACTTGGGAAAGCCTGGAACCATGGCTTTCCACAGGTCATTCACAGTACTCCCATTCTGTTGGCAGTTTACCAGTCAGGTCATCTGTGCCACAGCAATGCTTTCTCATAACACAGGTGACATTCTAGTTTTATTAGGATTGTTTCCAGGGAAACAGCTAAAAAGTTAAAATGAGATCAACTTCCTATGAAGTTGTACTGTCCATACTGTTGTATGGACAGTGTTAGGATTTAGTATTATCAGGAAAATAATGTTAAACTAGTAGCAATATATTTTATCCTGTTAAAAATTGAAGGTGCACATTGTATTCTCTAAGTTAAACACTGAAAGAACAGTGAACAAATACATGATTCAGGGAAAAAAGAATAATAAAACCATTTTGTTAGTTGAAAAGAAGCAAGAAGGTATAAAAAGAATGTAAAGCAGGTGGGTGATATAGCAAATTGTAGCATGATAGAGATAAACCTGCTTGTCAGTGATTAACAAATACAAAAGAATTAAGTAAACCAATCTGAGCACTAACATTATGAAGCTGGCTTTAAAAATTGAACCAGATTACATACTTTTTTAAAAATGGTACCCCTTGCCAGGCATAGCAGCACACTTCTATAATCCCAGCACTTGGTAGGCTGAGGCAGGAGGCCAGCCTGGGCTACACAGCAAGACGTATCTCAAAAAAAAAAAAAGTAACTTTACTTCTTAATGTAAGATATAAAATGGTTGAAGTTAAACAAATTGAGAAAAGAGACAGCATGCAACTACTAATCCAAAGAAAGCTGGTATGGCTATACTAAAAGACAATGCAGAATTTAAGGCAAGAAGCATTACTAAGACATTTCCTAATAAAACCAAGAGAGTATAATCCTCAGTCTCCCCTCAATATCCATATAGAGCTGATTCTAGAACCCTCTGTGGATAACAAAATTTGTGGATTCTCCAATCCCTTACATAATATGACATAGTATTTGCAAATAAACAGTGCATATCCTTCTGTGTACTTAAAAAAAAAAAGAGATTTCCTAATGATAAAGGAATATGGAAAATTGTAAATCTATATGTAACCAATAGCATACCTCCGAATTATATAAAATAAACATTAAACATTGACAGATCTAAAAGAACTGAATGAAACCACAATCCTAAACGACTTAACATACCATGCAAAAGCTGATAGAATTAAGCAGACAAAAAAAAAATCAGTAAAAATAAAAGATATCTTGCTAATAAATGACCTGATATTTATGTAATCTTGGTTTCAGCTGTGAAATGCATAGAACATTTTCTTTGTTGATCATAAATTAAGCCTCAATTAAAATTTTAAATTGGTATTTTCATTTGTTTTTGACATTTTTGTTAGCATATATTAGTTGTGGTGGGTATCTTTTTTTCACACAGCTAGTAAGTGAAAAAAATGACATTTTTGGGGGGTAGGACTAGAGTTTGAACTCAGGGCTTTGCTAGCATTGAGCCATACCCCTTGCCTGTTACAATGCATCCTAATTAGATTCACCCCCTCCATCATTCTCCCTCATCCCCCTGCCTCCTCCTCAATTAAATTTTAAAATCTGCAATCATTTAGAATGTTTTCTGACTATAGAATTAAGAAAAAAAAAAAAAGAGAGATCCAAGGCAAAGGATAGACACAAAATCCCCACCTGTTTTGATCACATTAAGCAGTACCTCTCTAAATAACCCACAAGTCAATGACAAAACACAAAGAATGTTAGAAAATGTTTTAAAATGAAGATATGGCATATCAAAACTTACAGATTCAGCTAAGGTGATGCTCAAGAGGAGTATATATCCTAAATAGAGATATTTGTTTATAAAAGAAATAAAGGGAAGTAGCTGAAAGTCAATGATCTAGCCTTCTGTCTTCAAAAACTAGAAAAACAAATCAAAACTACACTTGTCCATCATGCTGGCAAAAGTCCACAACTTGGTAAGATACTCCTAGTAAGGCTGTGGGGAAAGTGGTGCTGTCACACAGTGCTTGCTGTCACCGTGGAGAAATGCAAAGCAGAATAGCCACCACACAGAGGAGCAGAACTGTACTTTCTGTTCTTTGTGCCTTTTCCTGCTTTTAAGACTCTTTTCTAAAAATACATTGGCTAAAATATTAGAATAAAAATACCTGTGAGACGACAGTATTATAGCTTGATTTCTAATGGATTGGAACAACTCAAGTGCCTGGAGGTAGTGAACTGACTAAAGGAGCAGTTCCCTGTGGATGTTCATTATGTGGTCATATCCATAGCTGTCAAAAAGAACAAGGAGCATCTCTGTGAACTTCTAGGAAGTAATCTCCGTGATACTAAAGTGGGGGGGGAGGGAGTGGGAAAAATCTTAAGTTAGGTTACTATTTACCTTCTTTTTTTTAATGGCCAGGGGAGGAGAGAGATACAGAGCAGTAAACAGGAAGATTCTAAAACGGAAGACCTTATCTTAAAAATATTTTTAGGATCAGTGGAGTGGCTCAAGTGGTAGAGCGCCTGCCTAGCCAACATGAGGCCCTGTGTTCAAACCCCAGTGTGTACACACACACACACACACACACACACACACACACAGTGAATGGTTTCTCATAAAGGAGACAGGGAATGAAAGAAGCTAGATATTTCCTTGAATCTACATTATTTTTTCAATTTGACTTTAGATCTAAATAAAGATTTTATATAATTAGAAAAAAATTCATAAGTCACTTCCTAAAAGGAAAATGAAATGAACCTAACTATGAACCTAATTCAGTTATTGTTATAGTCACATCAAGAAGAATTATTCCAAGTGACTTCAAAACATAATTAATTATTTGTACTCCTAGCAGAATTTTTTACCCTAAGAACAAAAAAAACCTTATACTAAGAATATACTTTATACCAGTAATGCTATTGTTAATACATACATTGACAGTGTTCTTCTGAAATTGTAGGTGTAGTATGTGTTGTAAAATAGGGAGTTGTTTTTAAAGTTTTGTTTTGTTTTGTTTTCCTGATACCGGGGTTTGAACTCAGGGCCTCACGTTTGCTAGGCAGGTGCTGTGCCACTTGAGCCACGCCACTAGCTCTTAAGTTTTGTTAGAGTTGAGACATATTAATTGTACAAATTTATGGGGTGCAGTGTGATGCTTCAATACATCTGTATATTGTGTAGTGATCAAATCAAACTATTTACCATATCCATTACCTGAAACGTTTATCATTTCTTTGTGATGGGAACATTCAAAATACTCTCTTCTAGTTATTTTTAAGTAACTAGATTTTAAAATAAATCACAAAGTAGTATCTACAGAAGCTTTTCTTCTTAACTGAGATTTTGTATCTATTGATCAATCTCTCCCTGTCCAGACTGTCCATACTTTGGTAACTTCAGTTCTACTCTATACTTATATGAGATCAGCTTTGTTAGATTCCACAGATGAGTGAGATCATGCAGTATTTGTCTTTTTGTGCCTGGTTTCATTTAATATATTGACCTCTAAGTTCATCTGTTACTACAAGTGACAGAATTTCATTCTTTTAATGGATGAATAGTATTCCATTGTGTACATACACATTTTCTTTATCCAGTTATTAGTTGTGGATACTTCAGTTGATTGTTTATGTTGACTGTTGACTAGTGCCTCAGTAAATACCAGAGTACCAATGTCTCTTCAATGTGCTGATTTCGTCCCCTGTAGGCATATACCCAGTAATGCAATTGCCAGGTCATAGATCAGTTCTACTTTTAATTTTTTGAGAAACCTCCATACTATCTTCCTAATGGCTGTATTGACTTGCATTCCCACCAACAGTGTCTAAGAGCTTCTCTTTCTCTGTGTCAGCTTTTTTTTTTTTTTGGTCTTTTTGATAACAACCATTCTAATTGGGGTGAGATAATACTTCATTGTGGTTGTGGTTTGCATTTTCCTAATGATTTGTGATTTTGAGCATTTTTTTCACATACCCTTTGGTCATTTGTATGTCTTTTGAGAAATATCTTTTCAGGTATTTTGCCCATTTCTTAACAGATTGTTTGGGTGATGGGGTTGAGTTCCTTATATGTTCTGGATGTTAACCCCTGGTCAGATGCATAGTTTGCAAATATAGTCTCCTGTTCTATAGGTCATCTCTTTACTCTGTTCATTGTTTCTCTTGTTGTCCTGAACCTTTTAGTTTGACATAATCCCATTTATCTCTCTTAGCCTTTGTTGTCTGCTCTTGAGTTCTTATCCAAAAAACCATCACCCTCAACATGTCAACGTCCCCTATTTTCTTCTAGTAGTTTAGTAGTTTGGGGTGTTTAGTGTTTAGTTCAGTAAATGAGTAATTTTGTTAGTGTTGAGAACTGAAATTTGGGGTATGGATAAAAGAAAATACAGATGTGAAAATAACTTGATGTTAAATAAACATCTGTAGTTATGGACTAGAAGTAAGGCTTTTTGATATGTTCTATTATTTTCAAAACAGACATTTCCTGACTATTTGCTGAAAAGAGTGGAAGCAGTGTCTAGCCCAAACCATTAGTGTCCAGATTGTGATATTTAGGTACCATTTCCACTAAAAGGAGCCAGGATTCTGTATAGAAACAGCTTCTACCAAGTATAGGAAAGCAAGGAAGCTCCCACTCCTAAAGACGGGGTGACATGAGTAACCAGGATACAGATGCAGTGGATGGGCTGTGTCACAAATATTTATGCTAATAAATTTGCTGTGATAACTTTATCTTGGAGGATGCACCCAGAACAACTTGTTTATTAAAATGAAAGCCATTAGAAAGCAACAAGCATGTATCATCTGCATTAATTGTACTTTGAGGCAAACAGATAATTGATAAAGAAAAGGCTTGATTAAGAATATTCCAACTAAAAAACTGGAGTGGTAATATTAATTAATAATTTTATGACTATGATCATTACTGGTTGCTGATGTCACAAACAGAAACCAAGATCATATGTGTAGACTGTTGGAAGTTCACATCACTACCTGTAAAATAGTTTTCCCCCACTCTTCCCTAAAAAGTCAAATTGAAATTCATTCTAAACTCTGACATTTTATGGAAAGTACAAGGGACAGAGGAGCATGTTAAATGGGACTGTGGAGTTGCATCACAGAGGCCAGTCACTAGAGGGCCACAGGATGTATAATGCTACTCCTACAAGAATAATTTATAAAGAACAAAATTAGGTAAAGATGGACTCTAGAGATCAAATATAACTTAAAGAGCACATCAACCAATTGCAGTGTGTGGCCCTTATTTTAACTATAATTCGCACTGTAAAAGTAAAACGAGATTCTCATGAGACAGTTGGAAATATACCAACTGAGTAGTTGATATTAAAGAATAATTTGCATTGTGTGCTGGTGGCTCAAGCCTGTAATTCTAGCTACTCAGAAGGCAGAGATCAGGAGGATCAAAGTTCAAGTTGGTGAGACCCTATCTTGAAAATGTCCAACACAAAAAAAAGGACTGGCAGAGTGGCTCAAGTGGTAGAACACCAGCCTAGCAAGCATGAGGTTCTGGGTTCAAACCCCAATGCCACCAATAATAATAATAATTAGTAATATTTTAGGCATAATTTATTAAGCTTATATTTTAAACATGAGTTTTTATCTCAGAGGTACACACTGAAAAATCTACTGATGAAAATACATGAAGTCTTAGATGTGCTTCAGTTTAATCTAGATGAAAGTATAGATGAAACAAGATTGTTCTTCTGTTGATAATTATTGAATCTGGTGAGGAGCACATGGGAGTTTATAATTTATAAATTATATAATATATGAAAATTATTCGTTATAAAACATTTTAAAGATGGGATAACAAAGATGAGTGAATAAATAGCATCAGAAATGAGTGGATAAGTAAGAAAAGCTAATGGCACATCTTAAGCTAAAAATACATTTAGTTATTTAAGCATGTTACTGAAATGCTCAGTGGATGGATAGGTCAGTTGGATTAGACATTATTACATAATTGGGGTCTTGCAAGCTTTGTGTAAAAAGAATCACCTGGATTCTATCTGTCCAAAGACTCTGTGCTAGCAAACTC